CCGTTTCCCACGAGTCGAGTTTCAAAAGTCTTATTTGCTTTCAGTTGATTTTTGTGTCTTTTCCATTTTAAACCTCCCTCTACCTCTACAATATAAGTTCTACTTCCAATTTTCTTTAAAATTATCCCTTCACACCACGGTGAGTTTCTCGGTCTGAAATCTCGCACTCAAACCTTTTCGAGTTCACTAAAAATAATATCCTTTTTATAACCATAATATTTTATTTCATATTCCTGTTTTTATGAACCTCTCTTTCAACTGAAGGTAGCATTAAATCGAATCTGGTACGCATTTTTCGTCCCGATAGTAATTTAGACGGTGTCTCCACGGTGGTAGTATGTGGAGCATTTCTGTAGTAAAATAAAAAACAATTTATGATATGATTGAGACTTCTTTCGTTATCTTCTTCTTTATTTTTAATCAGGGCTTTTTTTATTATTTTAACTGCTGATTCTGCCAACCCATTTGTGGCAGAGTGATATGGGGCTCCTGTAATATGCTTGATACCATGTTTTTTTTTTAATAGAAATTCATCCGACAAAAATGATTGAGCATTATCGGAACAGAATATCCTGGGTAGCCCAAATCTTGCGAAAACAATAGTAAGAATTTCTATGGTAGTTTTGGAAGACATATTATTTATTTGAAAACATTCGATCCACTTGGAAGTGGCGTACTCCAAAACTAAAAAGTAACTGTTAGAGATTGGACCAAAAAAATCTGCGTACAACCTTGTCCACACTTCTTTGGGCCAATCCCAAGGCTTCAGTGATATTTTCGGGGGATTATTAGAAAATTTTGCACAAATTTTACAAGTCTTTGCCACTTCTTCAATGTTTGCGTCCATTGACGGCCACCATACATGGGACCTTGCAATTGATTAAACAAATACTCTATTCTCGGAAGAGGGTATTTTTGTGCCTCCAGGTGAGGATTGAGGGTTATTTTAAAATCGCCACAGAGTCTAACTCCACCATTTTGTTTCAATATCGGAACGATGGGTGTTGCCCATTCCGAAAATTCGACAGGCATTAAAATATCATTATCAACTAATCTTTTTAATTCATTTTCTATTTTAGGTTTCAAGCTGAATGGAACAGGGCTCGCCTTATAAAATTTTGGAACAGCCCCTGGTTTTAATTTCAAAGAAACTTTAAATTTGTTAAAAGTGCCGAAATTATTTTCGAATACGGCACTATACTTCATTAGTAAATTGTCAGGATTGACAATAAAACTTATATTGTTCAGATTATTTTAGATCTTATTCACTTTACTTATTCCTAAGTTTAACATTTTTAATCCATTTCTTCCTTCGAATACGGCACTATACTTCATTAGTAAATTGTCAGGATTGACAATAAAACTTATATTGTTCAGATTATTTTAGATCTTATTCACTTTACTAATATATAACATATCATTTCCAACAGGTGTCACTCAATTGCAGAAAATGTTGAAAAAAATTGCGGAAAAAATAACATAATTAGATTCAATCGACATATTGTTGCATACTAATTGAAATTATAATACATTACTTTCTGGTGCTCTGAGATACAGTTGTCAAATGTCAAATGAAATGATCATAGGTGAAACAGCATTTCTATTATTAAACTAAATTTCATTGGATATGTAAATATCCAATGAAATTTAGTTGTCGTTGATCGTTTGTTATTATAGCATCGACATTTTTGATAGGATTAATGAGGCATTGTATATTCATTTTAATTTAGCAAGAAGAAAAACAATTAAGGTCCACACTAATCGAGAGACACGATGTCAAGGGTTCCTGATTTGATGTGGAAAAGACACTTCGGGGGTGTTATCAAGAGTATAAAAATGAGTTGCTGGTATGAAGCTTCCTCAATAGCCCAGAATCCTTCGACTGAAGTCTTCTCGCAAGGTAAGTTGTTTTGTCTATGTTTTACTGTGTTTCATTGAAGTGCCAAATCGGAAATATGAAAAAAAATTATATATTTATATCAAGGGTTATAGTTTGAAGTATTCGAAATATTATCGATCACATTTATCAAAAAAATACAGTTCATAGTTTTTTATCGACCTTTTTTGGGTATTTTTACCTTCCACAATCTGAAAAATATGAAAATTATAATGGAGAACTTTATACAAGTGTAGAAAGGGCAAACTTTTTAGTTTACCCCGATAAGTTACTGCGTAAAATCAAAGTATTTTTCACAAAAAAAAATTCTAGTTATCAATAACTTGTATTCAACAATTTTGACCATCAATAAAATGGCTAAGAACTAATATAATACCTATCTTAACGTTTAGGAGGCCAAAATCTGCTTCCGTCTTCAAAAATGGACAAAAAATTCAAAGATATTTGCAGTTATTCCTTTGCTGATTATTCATTTCTCAACTTCTTAGACAGATGTCAGAAGAGTTTTTTTTGATAGGCAAAATTGCTAAATACGATAAATAGAACATTTTTCTTTGTGAAAAATACAGTTACGCAGTAACTTATCGGAGTAAACTGAAAAATTTGCCCTTTATACACTTGGATAAAGTTCTCCATTATAATTTTCATATTTTTCAGAGTGTGGAAGGTAAAAATACCGAAAAAGGTTCGATTAAAAATTGAATTTCCTCCACAAGAAATGACTCTTGTTAAATCCATAGTTGTTTCTTCATGCGTTTACTTATTTTTAACGTAATTTTTCATTCTGTCTCCAATGGACAATTTCAAGATTTGAATATATATCAAAAAAATTATATTTTCATCTTACTTTAAACAAATAATTATGAAATGAGTTCTGGTAAATTTTCACAAGTAAGTAGTAGTAGTAGTAAGTGATAATTCATATTTAATAATTTTGTATTACAGAGATTTTATGTACTGAATGATTTGACCCATGCTGCATCAAATCTTGAATTCCAAACAATTACATTAAGCAAAATGTGAATGTTTGAAATGAAAAAAATGATGTATACATTGAAAATTTAATTGACTGTCCTTCAAACGACACATTGTTATTTAGGTTACGATATATCAAGTTAATGATTATAGTTGAATTTGATTCTTTATAGCAGATGTAAAGAAATATGTATGTTTCTTGAAAGGTGTTTAGATTATTGTATTTACTGAAAAACATTTAACTGTGGACTTTCATATTATATTACCATTCCATGGGAAAGAAAGTTTCTGGCTTTCTACTACTCCATCTTAGTAAAAAAATATACAACCCCTTCAATTCAAATTACCATTTCACTTTTTATGGAATAATGATTGAATAATGACTTTTTATCATAAACTCCTATATAATTCACGATAGTTTTGATTACGCAGATTTCAAAACAGATTTAAATTCAAGTCATATCACACTGAAATCTTGTATTTAGAAATAATCTTCGTTATTCCAAATCTGGACTATATAAAATTCGTCCGCAAGAAGATATTTGAAAAATAGGATTGTGTGGAGGTTCCAGAGGAATAATAAAAAAAAGTGTCGCCAGAAAATAATTCCTGAACTTTGAATCATTCTACAGAAATATGATATTCTGGCATATTCATATACATATTAAAATGTTTTGTTCAGGATGTAATGAATCGATTCGTTTTCAAAAACAGTCGAATACTGTTTTGATATGACATTCATTTATTCAAAAACAATAAAAGTGCTAACAAAATCAGTGCAATCTTTGAAATATTTGAAATGAAAATTCTGAATGAAACAACGAAGAATAATCTATGTTCATTCAAACATTGTGAAACAATTTGAGATATAAATCCATGCTCTAAAAATAGCATGATAAAAGTTTTCATGTACGTGTACTTATGTCCCTAAATAATACATCAGTTGTCATTCTAAATAGCATTTCATATTGAAATTATCAAATGTTTTGAAACATATTTAAAATTCTTATCCATTTTGTATAATATACATGCCTGTTTAGATTGTACCTTTTGAGAAGTTCATTATGAATGTACTGTATGAATTCCGTTGTTGCTATTTTCGTTCAAAAACCTCAATGAAAGCCATACCGTCATAATATAGAAAATTGATTGAATTCACCAATAAATGCTTTCAATCATCAATCCTTAATCAAAAATTGTTAATATTGGATTATTTACCTAGTTTTTGAAATAATATTCAATACTTTTTGAATCCTCTTTTTGAAAACGATTGTTGGAAAAATTTACAGGTGGAAATGTCAAAACGTAAGACCTCGTTAGCCCTCAGCTCGTACACGTTTCGACTTTTGAGAGTTGTCGTTCATAGGGGAACGACACTTGGTTAAGGGAAAAACAGAGTTTAAATAGATTTAAACAGATATACTTTACCATACTTCTATCAGTATATATAATACTTTTTTTCAGTATTCAGAGACTTTTTGTTTACTCGAAATTATGTTGATGTTTTTCATTTCATTAGGTTGTTCCAAAATTTTTGTCCGTTTTTATGAGCCTATTTTAAACTGTGATATCCCATACTTATTCAATTTAATCAAAATTGGCGCTGTTTGAATTATATTTGAAAATCGCTCAACAATATCATATAGTAATAAGCAGAAATGGAGCAAAATACTAATATTTGAAAAAACAGGAACAGCAACAATATATAGAGTACAAACATTCATTGATAAATTCAGTTCTGTTTTTTGAATTTTTTACATCTTTGTATCATTCCTGAGTAATTATCAGCGATAAATCTTTTCATAAAATGAGATACCTCAAAACACAAAAATAATTCCTCAAATAATTGAATGCTACGTTTATTTCTTTCAAAACCGCAAATTCAATGGAATCTTTATTGAATAAACAACCAAATTTCAAAAAGTTTTATCATACAGATGAACAATACTTTCGAGAAGATTTTAAAATAGGTCAAGACGATTCCAATCAATTATCATTCGCATTATACAAGCAAAAAACCACGTGCAGAGCTATCTTCTGATAATTTTCATGTAGTTTTGACGACTGATTATCATAATTGAAACATGAATCTCAAATTTCACTGAGTCACGTAGAAATTCAATCTTACCCACGAGTTTATTACCAAGCCGTCTGAGCCATCTCACTGGATACTTATAATTGGCCGATATCAATACAGGTAGTACCAAACAGGAGTACGTGGCCAAACACCAACCTCCAAGGCTAAAAAGCAACGGAGCATGTCCTCTTGAACAATATGGAAGAAGGAACAAAACTGACAGAAGACAAACTGAAAAAAAATTACAATTAGTTTTACAAATATACGTAGTATGCATTTTGAAAATTAAATTAGTTCTGAACACCTAAATTCTAGAAATTTTAGAAATTCTAGTTGGCAGGTTTGTTATTCAAACTCGCCAAAACGAATTTGGATGAAAATTGGCACATGGATGGCCCAACGACTGTTACCACTTCAGGTTAACCCCATTATACTATCCTCAAAATATAAATTATGGTATGCTCATCTCCAGAGTGTTTAGTCTAGTTGATATGATGTGGCTAACTCAGTTCAAGAAACGCGCATCGAGAATACTGTTGCAGTTCTGGTGTTCAAAAGTGGTTGTCCCAACACAAAAATACTTGTCATCCAGCATAATCGTTTTTGGTAGGAAGGTTTTGGCTTTCTACCAAGTCTTTTCAAAAAAATGAAGTGAATTTTCATTTTTCTCAAGGAATATTTATTTATTTATCAATTTCCATTTGATCTCCTTCAAAGTAGACCCTCTCAGATATAATGAATACATTTGTGTTCTGATATGCCCTTTTTGGTATGTGAGACGCCCGTCCGTTCATGGGTTTCTTCAATCTTGGAAACAGGAAAAAGCCGCAGGTAGACAAATCTGGTGAATACGGTGGCTGATGCATGATTACGGTGTTGTTTTTGGCCACGAACAAGCAACAAGTATTGTGTGTATTGTGATGTGATGTTTCCTTTACATTAAGTGGCACATAACTCCCGAATAATACTTTAAATTGACCATGCGGCAATAACTCTTGATGCACTACCCACAGTTATCGAAAAAAAAAATGAGCAGTGCCTTGATATTTGATCAAACTTGATTTTTTTGGTCATTGCTCTCCTGGGCTTTTCCATTGGGATGATTGGCCTTTGGTTTTTGATGTTATAATCATACATAAATAATAATACTATCATTTATTAATGAAAAGATAGAGAATGTATACAGCAAATACAATTTTTTTGAATAAATGATACCTGCTCGATAATTGAGCAAACCCTTGTTTCGAGATAAAAATAACCCTACTTAACTACATAAAAAGAAAAATATATTCAATTCAATAGAAGAACATTAGGAAAAAAAGCATCACACTTAACAAATATATATGAAAATGAGACAGTGTAATACGAAAAGCAAAGACAATAATGACAACATTTATACAGTACATTTTTTTGCATAGATGATGCATACTCGATAAGTGAGCAAACATCTGTTTCGTGATGAAAGTACATTACTTAACTAACTAATAAATATTCAGTCCAATACAAGAACACCACGAAAAAGCAATACAATTAAAAATATATGTGGGAATAACAGAGTACTTAAAAAAAGCAAACACATTAATAAGAACATTTTAAAAGTACAACCATTTTGGAATAATAGTTATGAAAATAAAAATTAAAACCGTGCATGAAGAATTGAAAAAGCGAGTATAAATAAGATGAGATAAATTGTTTCACCTTATTTTTAAACATGTTAAAGTTCATTATTTACTTCTTCAGAATGGTCAGGAATAAAATTGAACGCCTTGGCTGCTATATATATATTATACCCCAACAACATGGATTTGTAGCAAATGAATCTATCAGCACAAATCTATTCACTTCCACAAATTATGCAAATGAAACCCCAGGGCTCTAATTTGGGGCCCCTTCTGTTCGTTCTCTTCATTAACGACCTACCATTAGTATTAAATTATACTGAAGGTGCTTTGTTCGCTGATGTTTTTGAATTTTATGAACAAACTGTTAGAGACTGTGTATTATTTCAGAAATATTTAAATAGCATTTTTGAAAGGAGCATAAAAAATAAACTGTATTTTAATGTTGAAAAATGTAGTATTTTGTCTATTACGCGATTAAAAGAACCTGTTATGTTTGAGTACAGAATGAATGAAGATGCCCTAAATCAGTGTTCTGAAGTAAAGGATTTGGGAATTACTTATGACCACCTACTGTCCTTTTCCACAGATATTAAAAATATAGCTAAGTCTGCAAACCGATTGCTAGGTTATTTAATTAGACAATCATTTAATTTTACCAATGTACAATCCCTTGAAATTTTGTATTATAGTTTAGTAAGGCAATAATTTGGCTAGAAAAAATTGAAAACAAATTTTTAAAAAGCATCATGTATATCCCGATTATAATCTTTGGAAGATCGACGAGTGCTTAACATTTTGATGATTTTGTTTGAAATTATCAATAATAAAACTAATTCACCAACGTCATTTTCATTACTGCGGTTTAATGTGCCTCCAAGGAGAATGCGCTCTTCTGTTACTATCGCTGTTTTATATAGAACTACTATAGCTCCTCTTGCAACAATGTGTCGACTAGCAAATTATTATAACACACTCATTGATCTGGATTGGTCAATAAGTCAAAATATGTTTAGAAACATTATAACCAAACAAATTATTAATTTATCATCATACTGCTAACTGATTATAACCACTACTCAAATAAATTTTCTTATTTGTTAAATTGAAACTAATATTGTGAAAATCATAGTGTTAAGTTCACTTTTACTTTTATTCTCACTTTTATTTTTACTTTCACTTTATTTTTCATGTTTATGGCTTGTAAATCATTATAATTCATTTGTAATATTATATATTTATCCATGTAATCAGACCAATAGGTCTGTTTGGTGACTTTCTACTAAAACACAGTATAGTGTTTTCATATGATTGAATGACAAATTTTTCTTGAGGTAGTTGAATTCATAAAGGATGTTCTGTAGTTTTTTGGTGACCTACAGAATGCGATTTATCCATTTCAAATTACTATCAATGGTTACACCTAAGTATTCGATTTCTTTCACAGGTAATATTGAGAAACTTTAGTTTTGTGAAGTAATGATTTCAAGATTGTCAAAATGCGGTCTGCTTACATCTCTGTTTCTGTAGAATAGGGAGGGTGAGTGTAAGCCCACATCACTCAAGCCACATTTGACCCATTGTACATCCTTCCGAGGAGCTGTCCTTCTAGGTCATCGTCCATCCTGTCGTTTCCAGGAAGGTGGACAGGTCTCTGGAAGACTTATCCTTTATGTCGGCAGGCCAACTCGCCGAACACACACTCTCTTATTGACGATAACTCAGGACACTCACATAGTACATGCCTGACAGTCTCATCTTCCTGTTCACACATCTTGCATAGAGGTGTGTCCATTAGCCCCTTATTATGGAGGTGTTTCCTTAATTGACAGTGGCCAGTTGGAAATCCTAATGTTAGGCGTAGTTTTTTTCTGGTTATCGCCAGATATTTTTTCGGATTTCATCCTTTGATTCCATCCCATCAATTTATGGATTAAGCATGGGTGTAACATTTGACTAGTTACGCCATTGTCGAAGTCATCAGGCCGTAGGGGCCACATTATTGCAACTGACAGGTGGGTAATTGCTTTTTTTAAGTTAACCGTTAGTAATTTATGTTCGAACCAGTTCTTTACTAGTGAAAAATCAGCCTTAGCTTTATCTCTTAATATGTCCCAGTTTTCAGCATCATACACTATTGCTGTGTCATCGGCAAATCCAATCATTTCGCCACTGCTATTTAACGAGAACAAACCATCTATATCTTTATTGAACAAAAGAGGTCCCAGAATACCACCTTGAGACACACCATATTGAATAGTTTCTTCCTGACTGAGGACATCGTCTACCTTTACGATCTGCCGTCTATTTGAGATAAATCTTTCATATAATTTCAGGTTTTCATTCCTAATACCAATGTTTTCTAATGTTTGCAGGAGTAGGACATGACCAACAGTGCCAAAAGCTTTTGATAGGTCTATGAAAACACATAGACCGGACTTGTTCTCATTCAAAGCATTATTTAGTTTCGTGGTTAGGGCCAGGATTGCATCTTCTCTTGACGTGTTTTCTCTAAAACCAAATTGCTTGTCAGATAAAGTTTTATATTTTTAAATATACGTAGGCAACCTTTTCGTTATCCATTTCTCGAATATACCCATGATTCGTCACCAGTTACGATCTGCAACACTCTTGTCGATGCGCGAATAATCAAATAAGTTGATATCTTCGGGAGATGAAGAAATTCAGATGACAGTTTTCAAATTATTACAATTGTCAAAATGCTTCGCTTTTCATAACTGATGAAGCAACGTTTTTCTACAGATGCTATACAATGTGCCACTTCTCTTATCGTTTTCGTATATTCAAAAAGAAATATTTCTCACGTAGTGACAAATATCCGCCATTACAGTGTAATGGCGATGTACTGAACTTATTGGAACCTCTGGAGACACCTTACATTTTGTTTTATGACAGAGAGGACATTGGCAGATCAAATTTATAATGTGGTGCTGCAGGTTTTTCCGAGTTTTCCTGCAGCTGAAAAAGCGCATGCTCCACTGGAATCAATGAAGTCGCCCCAGAGCGTCAATTGAATTTTATTGTTGCTTTATAATTTAATATTTTTTACTGTTATCGCCCATTGTCGGCGTTTCCATAACAACAAAACCGAAGCACTGCATAATTATTGCTGTCAACTTACCCAACGAAAATAGTTTTATTTTTGATTGTTATAGTATAAACAGTTCAGATTTATCAAATTTCAAATATAATGGAATACGAAGATTTAGAGTTGAAAAATACACCTTCAGAAATTGTTCAGAAAGCAATAGATGTTTGCAATAATTTGCTACCAAGCACATCAAAAAAAAATGCAATCGCTTACAGAAACTGTAAACGATTGGACTGGAAAATGAAAGCCAAGGTAAATTCTTGTTTCGAAAATACCTTGTTAGTTTATTTTGAAGAGTTGTCAAGAAGATTGAAATCATCAACATTATGGTCTCAGTACCTACTCGATGGTAAGGAGTACCTTGACTATCAAAAACTGTGTTAATATATCAAAATACGTGAAGCTACGTGCATTTTCAAAACGCAAATCTGAAAACTATGCTCCAAAACAGTCAAAAACATTAACTTCTGAAGAAATTCAACAACATCTGATGAAAAGTA